TGATTATATGATAACAAATATTTTTAAATCCTTAAAACTTTTATCTCTCTGTTGAAGAACGTTAGCTACATCAATTCTCAGATTTTTATGCATAGATTTCGTGAACATTTTCCTATACTTTAATGAACACATTGCTTATTTTTAATACCAGAAGTGCTAATAGTCTCGAAACTAATTTTTCCAAGTGTTGCGTTAAAAAGAAGTGAATCTTTCAAGTGTTGCTTCCAAAAGTTATTGTTTGCTTTGGGATACTACACTTTGTAGTATAGCTGTATTTCATCTGTTGCATCCTCGGCTGTGCTTTCGAGGATAAGAAGACTAACTGACTCTGGATTCGGTTTTTCCCACGAATGTTTTTGACCAAGAGAGCGACCATATTAATAGTTTTTAAGGGAAAACATTTTATGTTTTCGAGGAATTTTAATGTATTATAACGATTACGTTGGAAGATTGGAAACTCTGAGACTAGACTTTCTACAAGAACATTGGTGTACTTATTTGTGGTAACTATGTATGTTCCACACCCCTCTTTTCCTCTTGGAGATCTGAGGTATATAACAACTGTCGGTGGCAAAGGTCAGTATGATAGTACGTAACCATACAATTAAAGCATTTTTAAAAAATGGCAGATTACATATTTAAGAGATTTATATTAAATAGCCTTTTATAATAAGAAAATAGAGTAAGCTTATTAAGAAATTGTTGATTAGTGAAAATGCATAATGTCACCGATGGAAAATGACAATTTTGATGGGCACGGCAGTCAGCCATTGAATGCGAAGAACTAAATAAAAAATGGATACGTTCCCTTAATTAAACTAATCATTAATGAAGACACAATAACACGCGGAATAAATACTAATTCAGAAGTCAGACAACAAAAATCAGCGTTACATTTACAAATTTTTTTTTCCCATCCTGGCTGATATCTACATGCATTATTATGAATCAAAATTGTTTGAAACTTTAAACTTCCCGGCATGGTTCCGCTAGGTAGATGATACTTTTACCCTGTTTGAAGGTAATAAAGATGATTTAAATAAAGTTCTTTCAACAATGAATTCTATTGATCCTGCTATTCAGTTCACTTTTGAACTTGAGACTTGCAATTCTCTTCCGTTTCTCGACATTCTGGTCACACGTAACATATCCAACTTCAGTACTACAGTTTACCGTAAACCTTCATCGGTTTGCCTTCCACCACACTTTAAATCATGTCATCCGACTAAACAAAAGTTAGCTTCATTTTATTCCTATGTTTTCAGTTACAGTTTACCGTAAACCTTCATCGGTTTGCCTTCCACCACACTTTAAATCATGTCATCCGACTAAACAAATGTTAGCTTCATTTTATTCCTATGTTTTCCGTGTTCTTCAAGTTTGCTCCTCCAAACTAGCCCTTGATGAAGAACTAAATTATTTAAAAGCAATAGCTATTGACAGGGGCTTTTCACCCAACATTATTAATCAAGCAGTTAAAAAATTTTCATCTCAACACACTAAAAGCCACACTCTCATTTTAGGAGATTATAAAAATTCTGTTGTCATTCCCTTCTTTCCATCAACTAGCTATAAAGTTGCACATATTTTGCAGAAATTTAACTTTCGGGTTGTTTATTCTCCCATCAATAAAATTCCAACTTCTATACTCAAGGACCCCATTCCGGATATGAATTCCTGGGGTATTTATAGGATCCCTTGCCAGTGTGGTTTAATTTACATTGGCCAAACTAAGAGAGTCTTAAAATTTCGCGTCAAAGAACATGAGGCATATGTTAGAAAAAAGGAAACACAGAAGTCTTCTGTTGCTCAACATTGTGGATCCGAAAATCACAATTTCAATTTTTCTGCTGCCAAAATTATTCAAAAAACATCTTCCATTGGAGAACTGGATTTTCTAGAGGCATTTCACATTCATAAAAATCTTTCTGTTCTAGTTAACGATCCTAATTCCAATCCAAATTTGCCTTCGGCTTTTAGAGAAATTATGTTTTAGTTCTGGTTTCGCCAACAGATGGCGCCACTTGCTTATTGTTGTCCAGGCTTTCTTATCTTATCTAATCATTATTTCCTATCTTGTTCATTTGCGGTTTTGCAGCTGAAGATGATGGTTCGGTAAAACCATCGAAACTAGTCCTGTGAAAATTTTGTAAATGTAACGCTGATTTTTGTTGTTTGACTTCTGAATTAGTAATCATTAATGGTTTTTGTGACTAGCTTTGGAATACAGATAAAAGATAAAGCTGGAGTCAGTATATTTTAAAGACAGATGTTTCTATAAAAGCAACTCTCCTATTTTTGAAGGGTATTTTAAATTAGTGATTTAATTAAAATTAAAAAAGATACGTAATTTAAAACATAAGCAACAAATGCACTGTTAATGTTACTATAAAATTAATCGAATTTCAACATTTACGAGCAAGAATTTTGCATGTCGTATAAAACGTTTTGAGTATTTATGAAATTCATGACTGCATTTTGCTCTGCCATGTAAGAAAAACGTTTAAACATTTCAATTATGACCGAACCCATAATCGGTCTTGTGAAATTGATTAGTTAAAAATCGATTCTTTGACCCAGAATTTTATCATGGATGCAGTTATATTTCATTCTATAAATCGATTATATTGGCAGCAATGGCCTTGAGTTTTCGTTAAACGCTGTCACGGGAAAATCTGCATTATAATTCTTATAATTGCTTCAAAGTAAACATTTCATTTTCTAAAATGATGAAACCACGCAATACTATCACATTATTGATTTAGTATTTTATATCAATAAAATTCTAAACATCGTTCAGCCAGATAAAACACTATTGTGAACCTAAATCATCTTTGCACTACTTCTTTTTTTTTTTTTTTTTTTTCTCTCCCTCAAATCTGAATTTAGGACCTAACTCTTTTTTGCACTATTTTTTGTTCCAAATCTGAAGTTAGCTCTCAGATAACGAAAGTTGATCCTACACCTTGTTAACTAGACTCATTTGTTTATTTATTTTCTAAAATAATTTAGAAACTTAGAATGCTATAAATGAATAAAACTTAGAATGTTGTGTTATAGAAAGTTATACCAGCATAAATATTTTGAAAATGAAAAACTTGTCAGGAAACTTCTGTATATTAATTAAAGCAAATTAAATACTTTTGAAGCTGTACACAATGTTTGCCTAGCTCTGTATGATATCATAATAAATTTTGTAAACGTTATGTAACTAGCTTATTTATGTAAATTAAAATTGATATTCTGCACAGTGCTTTTACTTTTTGTCGTCTGAATTAAAGCAACAGTTTTCAGAAGAAAACGAAAAGAGAGCAAAAAGAAAAGATAATTAATACTATTCTAAAATTACAGACATTTCTTGATTAATAAGGATAATTAACTTCTCAAATTAGTCGCGTTGATTAAAGCCATTTTAATACTTCTTGATATTCTATAATGAAATTAATATTTTGAGTTTGCATCTTTGTTTGCGCTTCCATTTACTCTTGTTATTTATAATTTTTCATATGGATTCAGAAATAAAATTTTCTTAACAACCTCAGCTTTTAAGTCCTTAAGTTATCCTGTTCATATTTTTCTTACATCGCTAAAGAAATTAAAGTTTCGATTATGATGTAATCGGTTTCGCTTCTAATTATAATCTTCCAGCTGATTTGACAATGAGTCTTCCATTTCGTCCGTCTGTGTTCTTAAATTTTCAATGCATTGTTTGGTGGCGAACTCCCTAAATTCATTCATCCTGATTAAAATCGGCATAATTCGTTAACTAAAGCAGTTCTTGCCTTCTTTGATCTTAACTTTTATATACTTCATAATCAAATGTTTTGCTTACTTTTTAATGCCTAAACTAGTATTTATTTTTCTTTTCTCCTCATTTTCTTAGAATAACCCTTTCTTTTCCTTTGTCATGACTAAGATACTTATACAAAGCAACAAAATTATTCAAGGCTTAGGCAAAATACTAAAAAGTTTTTTAAATGTGTTTGAGATGCTAAGATAATAAACAAATGAATAAAAATGTAATTGTACAACTAATATACTGACCGCATTATTGCATCCATTTTCCTTCCCTAAAACTGTGAAGGTAGTACAATAGTATTCTTCGTATTTTCACATAAAAAGAAAGATATTTCTTAACATATTTTCATAAAGTACGAGTGTTCACAGGACATGTAAGTGTGTGGCTCCTTTGCATGACATTTCCAACATAATAACAAAGCCACACTGAAAGCGAGATTGATGATCTGAGCAAAAGATTCTCAGCCATATCTGCCTTGCAAAATACTTTTTCCGGTTTTTTTGCGGTATAGTAGAAGACCTGAGATTTCGTACTTCCACACTCTGCATGAACCAAAGAGCGATACATAAAACATTTGGACGGATTTATGCTAGAGTGATGCTTCAAAAAGATCTCATGTCAATACCGACCGCAAAACATATTCTATATGAGAATGTTTAGGTTAGTTGAACACAGTAAAGCATACGTAGGCTATCTGCTTGAAAGTTTTTAGCGAAGGTTTTTAGGTTTGAAAGATTTGTTAGCGAAAGAAGTTTTAAAAGAATCGGAAGAAACTGCAAAACTTACTATGAAGCGAGCCCTTTTGCACAATATGGCTATATATCTGGAGAAGTGAAGCTTTTATGAAATATTTTTTCTCTGAGAACCTGAGTATTATTTATGTTATAATACGTCGAGAAAAACCACGAAATTTCCCACGCAGCGATTCAGACCAAACTACAAATGTTTAGCTGTCTTATCTACTCAGCTGCTGGTTAACACTGGTACATGAAGGAATATTTTAATGTTTAATACAAACTCCTAATGCAATTTTTAATTTTTTATCATCAAGGACTTTTTTAATCAATTTGCTTATTGCACAGTCTGGGGTGTACTAGTTTTTTGATCCTATAACGTATACCTTAATCAAGACTAGCTTAATTATGAAATAATTCCTTTCTAATTCAGATTGAATCATGTATAACCCTATATTTTTTTGCAGCTTTACAATCCTCGGAAGACGACACCACCTTTCCGATATGGAACAATACCGCACGGGAACACAGAAGCTGTGCTACGTGTCAACAAGCCCGAGCTTTACCGGTATATGAAGGCATTCAAGAAGAAAACCGTCCTAGAAGGTATCAAAGCAGTGAAAAAAGCGTAAGTATACAGTTTTGTTAAAAAAAAATAATTAAACACTACTTGGAGTTTTCAATTTTTAGATTTTCGCCCTATGTTTTAAATCAGTAATTAATTACCATATTTGCCGGAGTATAAGACGCACCCCCCTTTTTACGCACATTTTTGAAGGATGAAACTTTATTACTAATCATTATAACTCCAACGAGTTCTTATCATTTTCTCGGTTGGGGGCGCCTCTGCAGCCCTGTTTCCATGTTCTTTAGCATACGCAATCACACATAGCTTTTATGCTATGTTATAGCAATGCCGACGTTGGTTTTCAGTCATAACAAATTTAAGAAACTTGAACAGTAGAAATTTCACTCACTTAAAAGTCGTTCACAAAAATTGAGAAGTTAAAAAGAATTGTGTCAAAGGTAACGCACGACTAAATACATGTCAAAGAGTAAGGTGTAGATATATTGTTTCAGTTTAAGAAGCGACTCAAGTAAACCAGCCTTTGGAACTTTGACGGTTTTTATCGCACGAAAACTTTCAAAGAAGCTAGCAGTTATTTCCAGTATGTAAGTGGTTGATGATCTAGTAGTCTAATATATAGGATTTTCAAACATCCTTCCATGTGTACATGAAATGTAAAACACTTTTTATTAGAAAAAATCTATACCGAAGCGCCTTTCACTCTGTTAGAAGTCTGGACATACTTTGCTCTAATTAACGAATCCAATAACAAAAATTTACAAAATTTAAATTTTAATTCCAATCCCATATAAAAGTACTTTTCCATAAAAACATTTTTCTCAGTAAGAAAAAATTTTGTAATCAAATTGTTAAACGAATTGCAATCTTTAGATAATTCAAAATTATGATTCTAATCATATCATAATTCGAAACCTTATGGTATGGGAACAGTATTCAGTTTGAGCTACAGACGTCCAAATATATAAATTACTCCCTATAATCAACAAATGTAAAGTTTTGTATACATATTTCTGAAATATATCATTTGAAGAAACTATACGCATCGATCTAAGACTTCCGTTCGTAGAAATGCTAAAATTCGAAATTTTTGTCTGGCTAAATTCCGTTTAAAGCCCTTAAAATACAAGTCTTTCCAGTCTTCTGGAGAAATTAGTTTAAGTCTTAAAGTTTTGTCAGGTCTCTCAAATACAGTCTTATAGATTATTTAAAAAATTTCTTTAAGATATATATTTAAGAATTCTTTGAGTATTAAGGTTCCTAAAAAATTCTTTAAGGCTAAAGATCAATTTAAAACATTCTTTATAATTCAGACGCTTAAAACTTTAAATTTTCAGTATTTTTAATCACAGATTCAAACAGATTAAATTATTGCAGTCTGAATGTTCATTTCGTTTGATTCTATTTTGAAAACTGTATTATTTGCCTTGAATAAATCGTTAGCTGTATGAAAGCAAAGGGCAGTTTCTCACCCACAGTGACTCATAGAAGTATGGCAGTCTAATGTTCGACCGTGCGCCGCCGTACCACATCATATGGTTTACGTAAAAACTGCCAGTGCAACAGTGAACTGGCCCATTTCGCCCTTAGCTCGAGTGGAAGGATGTACGAAATTTTTGTGTAGAAGTTTTCTTTAATGTCAGCGATAGTTGTGTCAGGAATATGGTGTGTTAATAAAGTTATGTTTTGCGAAGCGGAGTCATGTCATGAAGGATATTCACCGAGCTATAACCCACGCACTATAAATTGGTGACCCGTCTACACACATGAAGCTGCATGTTGGTTGTTCGTTCAGGAGCTTGATTTCAGGACTTTCATATTTTTACCTTCAGCCACTGCCATGAAGGAAACAGCAGCATTGAAGATACCGATTTACAATCCTAGTGACCCAGCACTTTGGTTTGCTATGTGCGAATCAACTTTTGCTTTAGCCGCACCCATGCCTGTTACGGATCCGAAAACGAAATTCAACTACTGCGTCGCTCATTTGTCGCCGGAGATTGCTTCATTGGTTCCAGATATCATACTTCGGAAGCTCACAGATTCTTCTTACGAAGACCTCAAAGCTTCCATTACTGAACGATGTGGGGAAAACTTTTCGGAAAGTAAATATGGGTCTACTTTTAAAATTGGTAAAGGCTGCCCGCAGGGTTCCTGCAGCGCTCCTCTGTTCTGGAACGTGATTATGAATAAATTGCTTCAATGTGAATGGCAATATGGAACTTGTTGCATATGCTGACGATGTCGTTGCATTGTTTAGGGAGGACTCACTTGAAAAACTGGAAAAATTGTTTGATGGGACCTGTGCAATTTTTGATAATTGGAGTAATAGTGAAAAATTGAATTTTAATATGGATAAGACACAGGCTATGTTTTTCCCGAGGGGAGGACGTGTGGTGGGATCTCCTCGAATTCGGTATCATAATAAAGAGAATTAAATTTACAGAAAATATGAAATATTTAGGTGTTGTGTTGGACTGTAAGTTGACTTTTGTTGAACACTTTAAGAACGTGCAGCGAAGAACAGATCAGCTTTTACTTGCCTACAGAAGGAACTTTGCGGGCGATATTTTTGCTAAGAGATCTGGTATATTATTGGTTCTATATAAAGCCGTTGTATTACCTATTGTGATGTATGGAATTGGCGCCTGGGGTTCCAGAGCGGGGGAGCTGGTGAAGCTCCGGATGAAGTTGGATTCTATACAGAGAGCTTGGGGTCTTGCAGTTACTCGCTTTTTAGGACAATCCCCACGGAGGTGGTTTGTGTATTGGCCGGACTGCCTCCCCTCTCAGTTTATTACGAATTTTATTACAAGAAATATCTTTTACGTTCTGTAAATATTGATATGATTTGTTTTGATTCTAATATTATTACTGAATATGTTTTTCAAAAATTTAATGTACATTTATTACACGCTGTAAATAGAATCAGTTATGGGTTTGATAGAGAAATTCCAAAAATTGGAATATATGATATTTATACGGATGGTTCGGGGTTAGGAGTGTGTACTGGAGCTGCTTTTGTTGTATATTTCTATGATGTTGAAATTGATTATGGTTTATATAGATTGAATTCTTATAATTCAGTATTTCAAGCGGAATGTATTGCTGTTTTGAAGGCCTTGAAATGGATTAAAATGAATATTAAAACATGTGTTACTATAAAATTTGTATATAGATTGTCTTTCTTTGCTCCAGTTGCTCTCTTGCCCCGATAATGTTAACTGTGTTATTATGGCTATTAAATTTCTGTTGCAATCTATAAGTTCTACGATTTCTTTCCATTGGATTAAAGCCCATGTGGGGTTTTTTGGTAATGAGAGGGCTGACAGTCTGGCCAAGGAGGCATGTATTTCAACTAATGCACCCATTGTGGAAATTTCTGGTTCTAGACAAATTGCCATTATGAGTATGAAAAAATATTATATAAATATATGGAAAGATGTGTGGAAAAGTTCAACAAGGAAAAATAATTTGTTGATTAATATTGAAATTACAGATAAAGTTTTAATCTATAATGACATTGATATGAATCAGATTATCACCGGACATGGTAGGTTTCCTCATTATTTAAAGAGATTTCATGTACAAGATAATGATCTATGTCCAAATTGTAATGTTTTGGGTGATGCCAAACACTTCGTGGTGGATTGCCAATTGACTGATTGTATTAGACGAAGTTTTAGTGATATACATTTTGATTTATTGAATCTTGATTTTAAATATTTGAAATTATATGCAAGAGAATTGATGGCCTTTATTAATGGCAATAGACATGCGATTGGGGTTTTTAACTAAGTTCGTTTATTTTCAATGTGTTTTCTTGATTTAGTTATTTTTAGTTTTCTTCTTTCCTGTTGTGTCGTTAATCCAGCCATTTTAAAAAAAATATATATAGTTCTATGGCAACCTTGCTGGATGTATAATTATTATTTTCTTTAGTTGATTATACTAACATTTTTAGTTACTCGGAATACCGGGCTTGGTTTCTTGGAGCTTTTAATATTAAGTTAAATCTAAAGTTACTTCGTGTATAATATCTTGGATTAGTTGTTCTTTTTTATTAATCTGGCGTTTTAATTTTCGTTGGGGGACTCTCCGGGTCGCTGGCTGCCTTCGCTTGTGGTGTGAATGGGACGCCCCTTTTGGACCATAAGATCACTTTGTGATCAGGCAGGTTGGGGAGTTCTATCAAAAAACAGAAAGAAAAAAAAACGATGTGGGGAAAGCAGTACCAATGAAATACGGAAATTACTCGCCGGTGAGCAACTTGGAGACAGAAAAGAGCCATCCGATTTGCTTTGTATCATGACAAAGCGTGCTGAAAAACATAATATATCTGACTCATTGTTACTAGACTTATTCATTCAGCAAATGCCGCCAAATGGTCAATCTATCCTAGAGTTGGTTGAGCCACTCAATTCATCGAAAGCTGCCAGCACTGCTGAAAGAGTATTGGAAGTTACACCCTCTCAGATAAGCGCAGTTTCTTCAACTGTATCTGTCAATGTATCTAATAATTCTAAATTAGATTTCCTACTGCATGAATTCTGCAAGTTGCGTGGTGAGGTTTTTTCTCTACAACGATCATGCAGTGTTTCCAAAAAATAGCAGTAACAGGAAGCGAAGCCCTTAATTAAAGCAGCTTCGAATTGTTCTTATTGCTGATATCGTCGCAAATTTAATGAGAAAGCTAAAACGTGTGGGTTCCACCATGAAATTTCAGGGAAATGAACCAGGGAAAGTGTAATGGACACTTGCGCTTTACCCTCTGAGTCTTGCCGCCTTTTTATTACAGAAAAAAAATCAAATAAAGTATTTCTGTGCGTCACTGTCTCAAATATCAGTCTCCTTTCAGGAACTAAATATAAAGTGCGTCAGATAGCTATTATGACGTTTTCTGCAGCTAACGGTACTCCTATTCCGGTTTACGGACAAAATTCTTTAAGTATCGACCTTGGACTTCGTCGCAGTTTTAACTTTACTTTTTATACGTGTAAAGTGTCAACAATTATTATCGGATTTGATTTTTTTGCATAATT